TTTATTTATTTATTTATTTATTTATTTATTTATTTATTTATTTATTTTTTCCCCAAGTTCAACTATTAAACCTTCAGTGATTTACACCAAAGGGCAGACCTATTGACCTATTGCCTCAACATTAATAATAACCTTTTTTTTTTGTTTCTGGAGGAGATTTGGCTGAGAGTGCGATGAGCAAACACGGCAAGACATCAGCTTATTGTAAACAAAACAAAACAAAACTCTGAAAGCATAAAAGACCTGCAAGCAGACATAAATCATAAAAACAAAACACAGGTTTCATACAGAAATGAGTTTCTGGTATGGACATAAAAATACACAGTTTCATCTGTGTAGTTTTTGACCTGATCAGATTAGTTCAGTAATCAAAAGTAAAGGAAAATTTGGACTCTGTGGACTCAGTTACAGTACATCTAAATATGTAAAGGTTGTTTTCTAACACATGATAGCTGCAGATGGAGTCACGTTTTAAAGGCGCCTCACGTCTGAGAGAGCCTGGACTTAACTTCCTTTCTTGTTGTTTTTTGCTGTGGGCCGGTCACGGGAGGCACGTGCACGCCGTAAGCCGTCACATGAGATATTAGGGTCTCTGAATCAAAGCAGGAGTGATGTAACAGCCCCAGGACAGAAAGTGCAGCATTATCGAATATCAATGCTCCATTCAATCTTAATTTATTTAAGTTTATCAGTCAAAAACAGCAGTATTTGGAAAAAATATCTCTGATTTTTTCTTGCTTTGCCTCTGAACGAGCAGAAATTTGATCTACTTACTGGAGCATTTATGTCTAAAAGAAACAGATATCCCTCAGGAAATACCTTTGAATTAGCATGTGTGAATTTAATCTATTTGACAAACACAAATGGACGTCTAAGAGCTGATTAGACGCAAAAGTTTTGGAGGTTTCATTGGTTTTTGGGAAGTTTGTGTGACGAAGGAATAGAAAAAAACGAGGAGATCTTTGGCCGTTCCTCAAAACTTCTTTTGAAAACCTTTAGTAAACATCTTAAGAAATATCAAAAACCGAACTCCGGTCGTTCCGTTGAAAGATCATCACAGAAAAAGATGCTTTGGCTTTTTTTCTTTGGTCTCGGCCTCTTCACGGTTCCAGACTTCACCCAAAGGTCAGCGTTCAGGATGAATAGCTTTTCACTTGAGGTGTCAGATGCAGGGGAAAATTGCCCGTCATTTTCGGGGGGGAATACTGTGTTCCTGGAACAGGCAAAACAAGCTCTGAGAAACCCGCTGGAGTCAGAGTGGCGGTTTACTCATCATTCTGTCTCTCACCGTTCAACATCACCCTTTATTTGGAGCTCTGCCCGGTTTGTTTCTGCACACTTTGCTCCTCAGGAGGTGAATGACGGTTATTTCTTTGTCTCCCTTTGATGTGGAGCCTTCAAAACACAAAGTCCACATCTTCCTTTTTGGGATTTTTTTAAAATAGGAAAACGAAGATGGGCAGCAGTGACATTTGGGTTTTCTATTCTTCCATTTAATATAAGGTCAAAGATCCCAAATCAAAAGCCTAACTTTTCCCTCTCAGACGTCATCATGTTGTTTTCTGCTGGTCGGAAGTGGTTCTCAAACCCTGGATGGCATCCACCTCGCTAAAAAGAATTAAGAAGAATAATTGAGCATTGCTAAAGCTTGAACTGGAGAGGAAGCAGGTTTTTTTTTTCCAGCACGCAAAAATATCCAAGATGTCTGTAGACACACACATAATCAATATGATATATAATCTCTCACTTTGCACAAGGTGCCAATTAGGGTTGTCACGATACTAAAATTTTCAACTGGATACCGATACTCAGGAAAATACTTGATACCATTTTCGATACCACAAGGATAAAAACAAAGACCCCAAAATTTAACTGAATTATGACAGGTTAGTGTCTTTGGTTTCAAACTGACCTGTTACTGATGTTATTCTGACTGGTGGCCCACATTAATGACCCTAACCCTAACCCTAACCCTGAACCTAACCCTAACCCTACAGCCTTCATAATTGTGATAAATAAATATTTTTTGGTTAACCTTGTTTGGACTTATTGTACAAACCTATTTAACATCCACTATGTGAACATAGTATTATGGATAGAGTTTAATTCAGTGTTTGGAAGATTAATTTCACTATTTTTAAATTGACCTAATAAAAATGGCCGACTTGGATGTGGGCGGAGTTGGATATGTACTTGACTAATGGTAGCATGTTATCATTAGCCATTAACCACAGCTAGCAGTACAAGGCTAACGTCTTGTTAATGAGCATAAACAACGTAAATAAATAAATAAATAAATCTGGTATCGATACTTTTGAAAATGAGTATCGCATCGGGATACAACATTTTAGCAGCGATACTTTTTTGAGTATCGATACTTTTGATCACCCTACTGCCAATGGACAGCTGTGAGGTCCAGCTTTAGAAACGTCGCAGTTTGAACAACCTTTATTGCCTTTATTAGCCTTTAGGAAACATCCTGACCTCAGAGACACACCCCCGAAAGAAACGTCTAAAAATAAACAGGATCAGTGGAGTCTTTTTGGCTCCGTTGGGGAACGGGATGATGCGTTTGTGGGGGCTGGGGCCGTAATCCGGCCCTGAGCCCGTCATGTGCTGCAGTCATGGGTCTGAGCTGAGAGAAACACAGGCCGGGCACATGACTGCCCAGAGGCCCCCCCCCCCCCTCTGGTATGTGCGGTTTTTGAAGAGGAAAAAGGGCAAGGATCCCGTATTTCTCCCTTATTTATTCATCTTTTTTTTTTTTTTAGAGAGACTCCCTGGTCGAGCACTCGCTGTTATCAGGGAAAGAGTGGGGAAACCTTCCTAATTAGATTCTCACAAAGCGCATAAATCACGGCAGATAAGGGGCAACAACAGGTGGAACTACACACACACACAATCATTGGCTGAATGTCCGAGAAATTTGGACTCATTACATGGCAATCTCCAAAGCTTTCACATGCTGTCGTGTGAATTTATCACCCTGCGTGCTCCATTTTAGGAGGCCAATTATGTATAAAAATAAGCCCTTGCTTATTTGTGTGAAAAACACACATTTTTAAACAATAATAAGTGTTTCTTTGTATGTATCTAAAATACAGCTAAAATTACAGCTAATATATGAAAAATTATTCAGAAAAAACATAGTAATTATAATCTAGCATGAATGCAAAAGGAGAGGGATCTTCTTTCCTAAACACTTGAAAGGCTGATCCAAGAAAAAAAGAGTTTTTATTTTGCCCTTTAACGAAATATGAACAAGATAAACAAAATTATTTTTTAATATTCATTATCTATTATTGTATGTCTGTCTTCTGCCTGCTCTGATTTTGCACAGCAGGGTTTTGAGCCAAGATTTTTTACCAATAAGTGATGCAAAAGGTCTCAGAAACTGTGCATCAAATATGATGCATATGGCATTGTAGCGTTAATCCTTTTTCTACAACTCAGTACACAGGATCAGACCCTCTATGAAATCTGTTGGAGTTGGACTTTGGCTCACTCTGAAACCGTATTTTAATTAAAAATGATTTCTTCAAAATACAGGAGTGACGTATTTAGCATTTCGGGAGTTTTGTGTTGCTGGGGTCCTCAGTCCTGAATGGACGTCCTCAAAAGGTTTTGTTCTCAAATTCTTATTCATCCTTGCAGACATCAAATGGTTGAGTTAATTTCACCCCTTCTCTTTGAAGAACTGAGTATCCCGAGATCATTCATGGAGATTCAAAGAAAGTCGTCATGCTCTTGAAAAAAAAAGGGAAACTTATGGTTGTGTTGCGGTGCCAGTTTGAGCCTCATTCCGACACTTAACCACCAAAAGAGCCCAGATGGAAATGGAAAGGGAAGTTTTGAGGGAATAAGACAAAGCTTGTGTTACCTGTTCTTTTCCTGTTCAGATTTGTTTATTTCAGAAAAAAAGACACAAGAGCAGAAGCATGATTGGTACAAAAATAACTCTCAAACCACCATGAAAATCTGAAATCATACCTCTTTATTTTGAGCGATGCATCGTAGGAACAGAAACGTGACAATTGCTACTCTCCTGGAGATGCATAGAACATCATAATGAAGGACATTATCTCCTCAACTTCAGCGTAATCACAGGTGGAAATTGCCTTCACCGTTTAACTCCGCTGTGTGACGCAGGCTTTAGAGCTGACAGTGGCTGGCTACTTTCAGAAAGCTGTTATTTTACCTTTTTTTTTCTCAGTTTACACTCCACCCAGTAGATATCATATCATATATACTCTGTGAGAAAACACTTTCTATAATGGCAAACTCTTTTACACTTTTTTTTTAGTGTGATTGCCACTGAATTGTTCATTTCTAGAATTCTATCTGGCTCGTAATGAGTCTGCAGATCTCTCACTGTGTCTGATTTTTGGAAAAAAGCGCCACGTTCCGCTTTGCTCCGTTAAGCCGAAGAAGAAGCTAAGTCGGCCCAGAGGGTAGAAAGTTCCAAAGTTGTATTGATAATGAAGAAAAGTGATGTTTCTTAAAGTGGATTGGAGGACAATCTTCCAGCTGTGCAGTTCCAAGTGGAGCGAGGCCCCCGAAGTGGTCATTACTGAACCTGCCAGTCCCCAGAATGCAGAGAAATGGCCTCAGTTAGTGTGACTGACTGAGAGAGTTCACAGAAGATAGAAGTCAGAGGGGTAAATAAATCAATCTATCAGTCTGATCGCCGTTTTTTGGTGGTGATCATGCGGCGTTCAGCTATCTGATCTGCTGAGAAAACAAGCTCCTTAATGAGTCCATCACTCAGAAAAGTAGCAGGTAAAATTCATTCTTACGCTGCTTTTAGATTAAATAAAGGCAAAACTGACAAAAATGCCTCTTAATAAAGCTAATCATCTAAAGGAAGTTTGAAAAGGAGTTTTAAGCTTTGCAACTATCACTTTAAAATGCAAATTTCAAACCTGATAAAACATCTTTTTACACTCTCAGACAGGACCTTCAGGCATCCAAAGACACCTCTGAGGGTTCTCTCAAAGTTCCTTTAATAAGCCTGTTTGTGTACCTGCAAAAGAAGATTGCATTTATTTAAAATCAATACTAATTAGCACTGTGCAAAAGACTACAGTCATCCCCTGATAATTCTGTATAATATGTAAATAAAACAGGAAATAAGCAAGCTGATTTATTAAAAAAATTGCTTTTAGAAAAGGAAGTGCTCATTTACAAGTCTAACCCGAAGAAAATAGCATAAATGTTTATTATTTCCCAGAACAGCTGGTGGCAGAGGAGACGTTTGGCTGGAAAGAGAGTTTCTCTCTTTGCTCCACGTCTTGCTGTGTGCTGCTGGCACTAAAACATAAGAAACATGAGAAAAATAAGCGTGGTCAATACTGTGAGAGGCAAGGGAACTTTATTTGTAAAGCACAATTCACGTGCAAGGCCATTTAAAATGCTTCAGATAAAAGATTATAGGGGAAAAGTTTGTGAAAAGTTGAGAGTTTAGAGGCAGAAATGAAGAATGAACAAAACAGGACAAATTGAAATAATTGATTAATAAATTAAAAGGGAAGCGTGCATGAAAAATACCTTCAGGTGTCACTTGATAGCTGTTTTCAGCCTGGATTTAAACGTTTGCAGAGTTGAGGCCTGTCTCCCTTTTCCTGAAAATCATCATCACCTCTCACGATGGTTTCGATGTATCTCATTTCATACCCACTCCATAAACCTTCCCTTTCTTCTTCTTCTTTTTTTAAAAACTTTATATGGGGATTTGAGTGGACTCCCAATTAAAACATAGCTCACGTGTTTAGCCCAGAGTTCTTGTCTTCACAGTGTGATAGCATATAAATTCATAGTTGCTTGAGTAACTGCAGTTGGAGCAACAACCACCCCGAGGCTTTCTGCAGGCTCAAACTTTTAAATTGATTTCTTTCTGAATGTCGACGCAAAACTGCATCTATTTATCTAAAAAAAAAAAAAGGTCCACATCAAATCGTTTGAAGATGGGATTGGTCTGCAAAGCTCCTCAGGTCCCGGTATAAAGACACAACCCTTTTTCTTGGGAGTGAGATCCAAATATAACATTTATTAAAATGTATCTCGCTTTTCAATCTTTTCAGTTGATTTCCTGAGACGATCAATTGTAAAATATCAAAAGTAGAATCAGGAACTGTGTGTCGGTGTGATAAGGTTCCCCTGCTGGGATACAGAGTGGTCAGCTCTTTCTTTTTTTATCTGATTTTATAAGATTTTCAGCTGATCCTTCAGCCACAGCACTTTAATAGACTCAAAACTTTCTGAATACCATGAAAGCAAACAATCTTTTGACGTTGTTTTATAGATTTGAAGCCGTGCTCAATGGGAATTTGCTGTGGAGCATAAAAAATATATAATTCTTTAACCATTCTGCCCAGTATGGGTACAAGTGAGCGGTGGTTGGTAACACACAGTGATGTTGATAGACAGACTATGCTGTTTTGTGCGTTTTTTCCCTTATTTTCACACATCTCCACTATTCAGAGCAGAAGGATCTACACCAGGGGTGCCACTGTCCTGCAGGTTTTAGACATTTTCCTGCCTCGCACGCCTGATTCTGATTAAATTGGATCTCCTCGGGACATTGTTTAGCTAATGTTTAGGCCTGCTAATGGCTCTATGATGTGAAGCAGGTGCGTTGAAACGGGGAAACCTCTTGTAGAGGCATGGATGTGTTTAGCTCTGAACAACAGAGGGAGTGAGTGTGCTTGGATATATGTCTGTGTGTGTGTGTGTGTGTGTGTGTGTGTGTGGGTGTAGCTAGTTTGGATGATGGCCTGATAATTATCACCTGTGTCTGCCCATGGAGTTTGATCTTTTGTTTGTGACAGAGAGGGTAGACATAGGGGCCCATATTTTCTGTTGACCGCAAAGTAAAGCAAAGTAATCGCAAAGTAACCGCAAATTAACCTTAAAGTAGCAAATCAATAGCCAAAGTACCTTTATATTCAACATGCAATCTGGTCAACGTGTATTGTGCAAGAATAAGAAAAATAAACGCCCTTCAACCTGTATTGGAGCCAATTTTCATCATTAGAGTCAGCGAGTCATACAGAGCCCTACATCCTTCCCTCAGTGACTACTAAGGATTGCGATAGTCACCCTACACCTCTAAAACCTGCGGGACAGCGGCCCTCGAGGACTGGAGTTTGACACCTCTGATCTACACGGTTGTCTGTTTTCCAGGTCTGGGCGGGGCCTGTGGTTACCTGGTGGGGGCCATGGACTGGGGCCACTCAGCGTTGGGTCGCGTCCTGGGCTCCGAGTACCAGGTCATCTACTTCTTCTCGGCGCTGACCTGGGGCTTCTTCCTCACCGTGCACCTGTTCAGCATCCCGGAGACGCCTCTGGACCGGGACCCGTCCTCCGCCGACCCCTCGGCCTCCAGCGCCCTGCGCCTGCTGGGCTCCCACGGCAACGGGTACGGGGCCCTGGGGAAGGAGCCCATCGTGGCCGACCTCAGGCCCAGGTCCTTCTCGGCCCTATCGGAGAGACCCAGGTCTGTGTCGGTACTGGCGGAGAGGCCCAGGTCCTTCTCGGCTCTGGGAGAGGCCAACTCGGTGACATCCAGCGCCAAGCAGCCCAACAAGGTGAGGCCCTACCTGGATCCAGTCAAAAACCATCATTAGAGACTGAATTCTGGAGTTTTTAATTGAGTCGTTGTGATTAATTGGCCTATCTGTGCTGAGGAAACTGCTGAGTCTGCGGTAAACGTCTCAGCATGTCTTTGCAACTTAATTTTTGAGTGAGATGATTGAGGAGGTCAGGGAGTTTTCATTTTTGAGAAGTTTAACGTCAATCACACAACGTGAACTGAGAGACGGCTTCTGTAGATCTGCAATATATCCATAAATTTCTTCAATTCTGGGAAAGTTACATGCTACAGGCTTGTGCAAAACCTGATTCCTGGTGTTAGCCCAGTATAATTCAGACACATTTGGGAGTTTCTTGATGTGTTGGGAATGACAGGCCTTCAAGAGTTTAAGTGGAGGTTCTGCAGAGTGGAGTTCAGGGGCCGTCACTTCTTAAAATTCCTGCAAAGCTTTGAGGGATGTTCCAGGTTACCACCCCCCTCCCTGTGTTCATGAAATGCTTCAATAGCGATTTGTTACATCAGGCTGCAAATATCTGCAGACTAGAACGTTCTGCTGTGTTTCTCTGTACATTTTGATACGCAATCCAAACCCCAGAAGGTGATTCAAGGCACAGCGAGGGTAGAAAAGGGCCAAAGAGTCTGTCGGTGGCCCGGTGGGAGGGCGGAACTAGTTGAGGCAGAAACTCAGACGTGAGAAGAAATGAGAAATAGTCGTTGGGAAGAAGTTGTTCTCCTATTTTTTTGCAGCATCTGCCAGGGGCAGAACCCTGCAGGCATCTCGGGGGCATGCCCCAGTCTGTCTTAGCCACAAAGCTGGCAGAAATATTCGAACAGTTTCCATCCTTAACCCTTAAAACCAAAGCTGTGGCTCTGGTGAATTTTGTTCCACCGAGCCTGAGCTGAATAATGCCTTAACACATCTAAGGAAAAAAACAATCTCAGCCTTTTCAAGGGTCCACAGGACTAACAGTGAGAGGGACCTCTGGGCCCTGTTGGTAAGGATTATGGAGGCGCCAGAGCTTGAGTACCACAATCTGAATTCAAACAGAGCAAAGGAAGATAAACTGATGGGAAAATACTCAAACGAGTGAAAAACTAACTTACAAAGATCTGGCACCGGACAAAGGAAATGCCAGAGGATACTATGAGGAGTGAATTACAAGCTACTCCATGCGTGACACAGGAATTAAACATTCATGGGAAAAGACCATATGATTAAACGGACTATATGATAATACATTAATGGGTCATAAAGAGCAAAAGGCAGTGCTTGAACTTTCTGATAATGGCTCCACATTCTGGCTCCATGGACCGATCTCATTGAAATTCCCAGGTGAGCCGTGATTTGACACGGGGAGCCCTTCGTTTCTAAGAATAACTTTATTACTTAGCAACATCCTGCTGCACACACGGCCCACAGTTAGAGGCCAGGTGCAGGCAGATCAAACCCCTGAGTCAGGCCTCTTCTCTCTGAAAAGATGGTCCTTGAAACGAAGGGATACGGTCACAGTGGGAAATAAAGAGCTCCCAAATGTTCACGTTCAGTTTTGTAATACAGAGTCAGACTTATGGAAAACATCATTAAAGTCAGACAATTTTTTTTAACTGTCATCTTTATAAGGAAAACCTTTTATAGGTGTCACTGAGGGCGATTCCAACCTGTCATTGATCTGGTTTTAAATTTTGTAAACTATGTGCCCAATTATGAGTCATTTCAATGTTATTCAATTTTCTTTCTTTTTTTAAATTTATTTAAATGTTATCAATTGGTGAACACTTTGCTATCCTATATAACCCCATATAATTACTATTGTTATAAGGAGATTGGAAATGTTTATTTTGGTCACAAAAAGACAAAAGATTTAAGCGATTTTAAAGGAAAGCATAGAAAACATGCTCTCTGTCGTATTGCCACCTGTATCTTTCTGATGGTTGTTTGTGGCTCCCATCAACTGTAATTAACGTTTGGTTTGGTTTGGTTCAATTGTCCACTCAAATGATCTGAGGGGGGTAATCAGGGCGGTGAGAAGTCATCTCCCCTCAGCTTTGCGGAGGTTTAGTGCTCATGTGAAGCCTCTGTTTGGGTCTGCAGGAGCAGAAACGGATGACTTTCAGGTCTCTGATGAAAGCTATCATCAACATGCCGAACCACTACCGCTGCCTGTGCATCAGCCACCTCCTGGGATGGGCCGCCTTCCTCTGCAACATGCTCTTCTTCACTGATTTCATGGGACAGGTATTGATTACCGCGCGTCTGCACGTGGGCCCTGACTCTTCGCATTTCAAAAGGCAACCGCGTTTGTGTTTGGGATGAAAAGTCAAAGCAATTTGCGACTGCGAGAATCATCTCTGATCAATTTTAAGCTGTCTGTCACGCACAATTGTAGTAATAATAGTGACAACAATGACATCGGGGTAATTTATTCAACAGAATTAAACTTTTTTTGTTCCTTTCAGACTGTTTAAACTTGAGGAGTTTATCTTTTATCTCTTTTATTTGCCTGCATTTAATCCTTAATTGCTGTTTACTGTCATTTTTTTCATCTTCTTTTTATCAGCAATTGAGGAATTTTTGTTGTTGTGGGGGTTTGTTTCTTGTTTCTTCTTTCGTTCTTCTAGGTCAAAGACAATGTGTGAAAAAAAAGTCTCTTGATTGAAGTTAAACTAATTGATTGGATAAAAATAGTTTTATCGGTTTATTTTCCAGTTTATGAACGCTAATTGAGTGAAAATGTTGGGAAATAAGGGCAACTAGCCTTTTGATCTTTTCCTGTGTTTTGGAGAGACCCGGGCGAGGTATTTATAGACAAACGATGATGTCAAACGTCTGCCAGCGAGTTTGAGTTCAGAGCAAAGTTCCGCTGAAAGATGTTTTATTTTCAGAAATATACATGAGTACAGGCAAACCAGAAGTCGACACTTTATCGGATTTGAGGAAACCTCTGGTTACCGAGTCCCTGCGAGTCAAATTATAACACAGAGTTCTGACGGGAATCTGCATTTCGTTGGGTTTTAGTTTATAAAATTGCGGGTATATAAGTGGATAGAGCTCTGGGAGTTCCAGTTTCAGTGTTGGTGAAGTGACATTAATCTTGGACAAGTGGACCACACTTGTGCTAACTCTCTAGTAGTTGATATGAAGATGCATCTCGTGGCTTTTTTGGCCATCTGTGGAGAGCATTTGGGTGAAGGTCTCATATCAGAGCTGACAAACACTCACATTGATGAATCACCCAGAGGGTGATGGTGAGATATACACGGTGCTCCATCCTGTTATATGGGTACCAAAAAGCCCGGATGAGGCCAGAGAAACCTTAAACTGAACAGAAAGCTGCACATTTAACAGCCGACTAATCACAAAAGCAGCCGTTCCTCTTCCTCTCTGTTGTTTAAGATGAGCAAAACAAGCCATTTTTATTTTTCTGATGGCTTGTTTTGAAAAGCGACACCCACTTACGCAGAGCTGAAATTAGGCTGTCCACACCGGACAAGGTCAGACAGACGGAGAATAACAACGCCACGCTGAGGCCCAGACCAGCGTGGAGATCCTCTCAGGCTCATCGGTCGGGGGGTGGGGGGGGGGGGGGGGGGGGGGGGGGGGGGGATTTGTTGTTCTGTGTGAGGGGATGGTGCAGTATGCTGCCTACCACTGCCATTTTCAGTTAAAAAACCCCACAGAAAAGTTATATTTATTTGGGATGAGACTGTCTATTTACCACTAATCTTCATTTTGTCAACCCGATTCTTTAGTTGGAAACTTGAGAATATACCAGAGTAGGTCAAAAGTATTAAAAAAAAGTGACATTTTTGGGTCACGTGGCTTCATTGTGATTACTCTGTTTGCTTAACTTGTTTTTTATAAGAATGCTGAGAAGGATCCAGATAAACCACCATGTCCAGTGGAAATCGAATCGAATTTAAAGCTCTGAGAACGAACAATCTGTTAACCCGATTCTTTAGTTGGAAACCTGAGAATAAACCAGAGTAGATCAAAAGTATAAGAAAATAACATTTATTGGACACAGTTAAGTGTATCAGCTGGGCTCTGACAGACAAAAAGCTCTCTCTGGGTCTCAGTGGGCAAAGAGCCCTGAGATCTGGGTGATGGGCATTATCTCCTGGGCTCGATCCGCCTCCTCAAAGGAGGACTGGACACAACCAAGTCCTATTGGCCAGTTACCTCTGGGCATGAACAGGCCAGGTCCTAATTCATGCAGATGACATAAGAATGTGGTAACAACTGGTGTGTGTTTGTGTGTGTTGACCTAAAGGTGGATCTAATGCAACAGAGAAAGGAAAAGAGAGAAAAGAGAGTCTGTGGACACAGCCAGAGACTTTAACACAAAAAATAGTTATAAAAGAAAATAAAACAATCAGTAATTTACATAGATCATTTGATAGCATACTGTGCTAAAATGAGTAATTATAGCCAAATTCTGACACTTTAATAGATTTAATTGCCACATTTTACCAGCAGTTGATGATAAATTCGCTGTAACCGTGTCGTGATTCGTCTTTTGGGTCCTATTGGCCAGTTAGCTCTGGGCATGAACAGGCCAGGTCCTAATTCATGCAGATGACAGGAATCTGGTTACAAATGGTGTGTTTGTGTTGAACTAAAGACGTGGATCTAATGCAACAGAGAAAGAAAAAGAGAGAAAAGAGAGTCTGTGGACACAACCAGAGACTTTAAGACAAGATATAGTTATAAAAGAAAATAAAAGAATCAGTAATTTACATACAGTGAGGAAAATAAGTATTTTGACCCTTTGCCCACTTACAAAGAATGCTTATTTTTCCTCATCAGATGGTTATCAATTTTTATAAATTCTTATGATGTGATTTTCTGGAATTTTCTTTGGGATTCTGTCTTTCACTGTTAGAATCTACATATGATTAAAGTTATAGATCGTTGCATTCTTCGTAAGTGGACAAACCTGCAAAATCAGCAAGGGGTCAAATACTTACTTCCCCCACTGCCGATCATGTGATAGCATACAATGCTAAAATATGTCATTATAGCCTAACTTTAACAGTTTCCTCCTCCTCTGCAGATCGTGTATAGGGGAAATCCTTATGCAGACCACAACTCCACGGCCTACGCCACGTATGAGAGAGGAGTGGAGGTGGGCTGCTGGGGGCTGTGCATTAACGCGGTGTCGTCCGCCCTCTACTCGTGTAAGTGACTTTGCTAGTTGCCTGATAGTGATGAAGTGGGCCCCGCGCTATCTCCAGCCCCGCCGATAATCCCGACACCAGATAGCCCGACAAGGTTGTGCAGTGGAACAGATAGCAGTGCCTCCCCCGCCTTCTGAACGCCGTCTACAGGTTGCAGCTCATTAGCAGGCGGCGCCTCCCCGATAACTTCCCACAGGCGAAAAAACGAGTCCGAAATAGGCCCCTGTTTGCAAATGTCTGTGCAATGAGACGTTTCGGAGGCGGGCGGAGAGAATTTTTGCTCAATTTAACCCTTTAAAGCCTGATCCAAGAATAAAACAAAACAGAAAATGACTTTTTTTTTTTTGGTTTGAAGTCTTTATTAGGCCTTTTAACAAAATATGTAAAAATAAAAAACAGAAATACATTTTTGATATAATTTATTACTATGCTATAAGTCAAGATTATTTTTATCAGGTGTATCTGATTGTGTACAATAGGATTTTGAGCAAAGTTTTTACCATTAGATTATGCAAAAGGTGTCAGACGCAAAACATTTCAGAAACCGTATGTATCAGATATGATACATTTGGCATTAAAGGGTTAAGAATAATTTGGACTCTCATGGTTATGCCTCGAGACTGAAGGACGGTTTGTAATTCCTAGGGCGGAAACTAATTCTCTCAAATGCGCCTTTACTTACAGAGCAATGAAAGAATGGAACTCATTGGCATTAATTCTCATAAAAATTGTACATAAGTCTGCTTTTAAAATGCAACTTAAGAAGTTTTTAGGAGCAACTTATCTATGAATTAAATAGTTTCATATTCGAATTTATTGTAACTTATTCATAAAATGTTACTATTTTAAATTTCAAATTGTAACTTTCCCCTTTTATAGACATAGACAACTTTACTGTCATTTTGTGTGTACGGAGTGCACACAAATTAAATTTCATTGCATACAGCTTAAGACAAGAAAAGGATTCAATAATTTAGCATTTCTATGAATGTTCAGTCTTATTGATATGTATATGATATTTGTCATCTGTCAAACATGATCATGAATTTACATTGTATACTGTATTTTTAATGATGTGGACCCCAGGAAGAGTAGCTAATGGGGATCCTAATGATAAATAAACAAATAAATAAATGCGCTACGTGCACAGTTCAGCAAAAGTCATTTAGAATCTGGGCTAGTTCCAGCTCGGGTTGCTGGGAAAATTGTTTTACCTTCTTTTTATTCTTTGCGTTGCTCCTCAGAAATGAAAGATAGCACGGCTGGAGGTGCTAACGCTCTCTGTGAACCATAAAAGCCGAGGCAGTTATCACATAATCCGCCGTCCACCCAGAATCAACACACCTCGCGGGGCTTCTGTTGATCCTGGGCTAATTGTGGCCCCGTCCCTGACGCGCGCCTTTGTGTGTTTTTCAGATGTGCAGCGCTTCCTCCTGCCGTACATCGGCCTGAAGGGCTTATACTTTATGGGCTACTTCGTGTTCGGCATGGGCACCAGCCTGATCGGCCTCTTCCCTAACGTGATCGCCACGCTGGTCCTGTGCAGCGTGTTCGGCGTGATGTCCAGCACGCTCTACACCATCCCCTTCAACCTGATAGCCGAGTACCAGCGGGTGGAGGAGGTAACGTTTACGTTTCTCCACACTCCAATGCTGTTAATCACGACCTGCCCAGAGAGAGAGATACGGCTCGGAAAATTAAAGCCCGCGTTGAATCATTTGAATCCGCCACCGCCCGTGTTCCAATTAGCCCCGTTTAGTTTAGATCAGGTCTGTTCTGCGGCCCAGCAAAGCACATTTTAACACGTTTTTCTGCCATTTGGGATTCAGAAATAGGAATTTGTTGTGACCAGCTGCTCATCAGTGGCCGTTTTAACTTTTATATATTAGTAAATCTTGAAATAAATAAACCAGGAGTTAAAAGCCATCTGCTCACATGTTTAAAATAATTTATTTGACTGCTTATGAAAAATAATTTGAGCTGGAGTTGTAGGTGGATTGCAAGAAAGAAGTCTCACATGGGGTTATTATTATAAAAAGGATGTTCATTAATCATATAAATCCAACAAAAATCCAAAAAGAGCAGATATACAAGACTAAAGCAGTAGCTTTTACAGCAAATAGCCAAAAAGCAGTAGAGAAAACTTATGTGTTTTCATACTTTTTGAGTCTGGAAGCAAAAGAAAACTCTCTTCTTTTCACTTTCCAGTTAAAGTTTTGAATGAGGTTTGATGTGGACATCGATGCATGAACATTGCCGAATAAAGGGCCGATTCAGATTTAATAAGCAGAGCTCAATATTTAATAATCTCATCAGCTGAATCCATCTTTTTTTTTTTTCAAATCTGTCTCTGAATAAGAAAATAAAGGGGGAAAAAAGGCCACGCTGTTTAGTCTCATTATCAGGACAAAGATCAGGAGCTCATTATCTCCTGATGGAGATGTATAACAAGGCTCTGTTTGCAGAGATAACGGGTCACTTCTGCCGTGAGATAAGCGGGTTTGTTTGGTCATGATAATGAATAAATCTATCTTTTTATCGCAAAACAACAAAGCTCATTTTATGGAGATAAAGGGACTAATATGTGTTGTATGCTCAGCCTTCCAAATGTAGTTTTCCGGAGACAGAAACAGTGGGATGAGCCCACTGAGGTCAGTCTGTTCTCTGATCACACACTCACCAAAGTCAGGGCTGTTTTGTTCAGGAAATCAAATAGATAAATGACCGTAATATCGTTAAAAAATAAGCTCTCCGGTGTTCAAATGATCCACAAATCTAAACAAATGGTTCCAGGTAAAGCAGCTCTTGGCTTCCATAAATCAGACTGAAGCTAAACAGAGTTAAACCCAGCTCTAAAGATAATCAATAACTTCGGGATCTGATCCGACATATTTCTGTGATTGATTGTGGAATTTCTGTAGCTTTGTGGATAATGAAGATGGCATTTTTCACCAGCTCAGACCAGAGCAACTCAAACCCGAGTTATTTTCTCTGGTATGAATGAAGAACAACTGCAAGGAAATAATAAAAAGGGGCTGCAACCTGGACCATTTTCACTTTTGAGAGAATTTCCTCCACATTGAAGACTTTCTTATTTAGGTTTGACATTCTAGAAAAGTGAAATTTGGGTTGTAAATGAGCAGAGAAACCAACTACAACAGAAAGAATTCTGCTTTGAAGAAGCAAACTGGAAAGATTTTCCACTTTACAGAGGTGACAAATGCAACAAAACGACTTCCCAAGGGTCAGAAGTTCTGGTTAACCCTTCAAAGCCTGATGCAAGCCTTTTAACAAAATATGTAAAAAGAAAAAACAGAAAAACTTTTTTAATATTAATAATTTATTACTATGCTATAAGTCAAGATTATTTTTTGTGTAGTCTTCTGCCCCCTGTGTATCTGATTGTGTACAATAGGATTTTGAGCAAAGTTTTTACCATTAAATTATGCAAAAGGTGTCAGAAGCAAAACATTTCAAAAACAGTTTGTATCAAATATGATACATTTGGCATTACAGGGTTAAAGTCAGGCCTGGCATTGAAACAGTCTCTCTTTTAAATGTGCATGGCTTTTTAGGAATGATTCATCAGAATATCCATTCTTTCTTCCAATGGAGCGTTGGTAGAAAATAATTTCTTCCCAGAAACCAAGTTTTTTTTCCTCTCCGTGCTCGGTCAATACCTCATTAAGATGAACCCCATGTGACAAGGTGTTGAAATCCCAGATCAAATGTCTGAGGTGAGGCGGAAAAAAAAAAAAATCCTTTTGATAATTTCTGTTTCCGAGTCTGTCCGCACAGCTATCGATTGCATTCGGCCGGAGACATACGGGTATTTTCTTTTTTTCTTTTCCTGTTTAGCCCTCTCATGCCCGGTTTTCTCCGGTGTGCTTCCAGGAGCAGCTGAAGCTGTGCGGCAGCGGGCAGAGGTCCAGAGGCACCGGGATGGACTGCGCGGCGCTGACCTGCATGGTCCAGCTGGCCCAGATCCTGGTGGGCGCCGGTCTGGGGGCGCTGGTCAACGCGGCCGGGAGCGTAATCGTGGTAGTTCTCTCGGCGTCCACCATGTCCCTGATGGGCTGCCTGTTCATCACTCTCTTCATCAGATACGTGGAATAATACTGCTCTAAAGATCATTTTAAAGCTCTTGTTTTAATAATAAAAAAGGATACTTTGTTAGATCTGTTCGATGTCCTCGATTCTTATCGCAACGCTATTTATAGCTGCTCCCAACTTTTTTCTAACTGGTTGATGCAAGTGCAATTATCCAACTGATGGTTCCGAACGTTTTATTACAGGATTTTCCATCATACAAACGCCCAAGACCACCGTGAACGCTGCAAAATACACGGTAGGAAATATTCATCAGTGAAACCGTCATGTTCCCTTATATGAATTATCAACTGAAACTTATTAAACAAAATATAAATTCTCTCAATTGTCCATACCGTGTGCCCCATCCAACCAGAAGGTTAGGAGTTGCTAAAGGTCCTTAAAAGTCCATTTCTTCTATATTTCAGTTCTTTTACTTTACTCTTGCACACGTCGACTGAGTATAAATGAAACTCAGAATTTACATCAATATAAATAAAGTGATAAAGTGATGACCCAATCAGTGACGTCTCCATCTGACATTATTACAATATTTCCCCAAAGTATGTACATATTAATAAAAAAATACACAAAGATGAAATGGATATTGTAAAGTAAAACATTCATATTCAAAAAATAAAATAAATTCACACAGAAAAAATGCTGATGTAACTGCGTTCGCTAAACTATTCCTACCACCACTTTTAATAACTTTTATATCCCTCAAGTGGATCAATTGTAACCCTTGAAAGGCCAATCCGAGAAAAAGTTAGCATTTCTTTAGTCTGAAGTCTTTTATTTCGCCCTTTAACAAAATATGAAAAGCTGACAAGATCATTTTTGTGTGTTTACCATTTATTTCCGTGCGATAAATCAAAATGATTGCGGCGTGGGCCTCTGCCCACACACACATTTCAGAGCTGTGAGCAAAAGTTTTTACCATAAAGTGATGCAGAAGAAGTCTGAAACTGTACGCATCAATCATGATAAACTTCACGTGTTGTGTAACCATCCTGCTGCCCACTCGCTAATGACACTGTGTGTGGGGTCAACTTATGTTCCCAAATCTTCAAATGTTCACAACTTATGCCGCACAGCTTTTAAACCACACATGAAGTGGGAAAAAAAGGTCTCCGGGTCTCCCCGAGGATGTGTGAGTTCCACTTTTTCAGCAAAAAGTTGTGAACTTTTGCTCCGAGTTTACATCTTTTTCATGTGCTAATGATTCAAAGCTTTTGGCTACGTTAGGTATTACTGTGGAGTTTTGTGTAAATGTTGAGATTCAGAGTCGATTTCAGGCGTCAGATCCTTGTCAGAAATGCAAAAACTAAACCCACACAGAGATGCATCTAAATCTAACAAAAAAATCTGACAAAAAATAGCATTTAATGTTGTGTTGGTTATGTCTCCTGTTGCTCATATATTGTTTTCCACCTGGATTTGCATCTGAAATCTGACAAGAGAATGGATTTTTTGTTGTTATGTTAATGTCTTTTTTTAAATGCAGTTTATTTTCTGGTTGTGTTGGTTCCTTCTCAGCTTCACACCGCTCATCGGTGGTGTTTTCCATGTGAGCGGGGATTTTTTACGCTACCATCTAAATATCCTAATTGGTTTTTGAATGTGACAGTATTTCCTTTCAAGGTTTCCACTTCACAACAATAATTGCTCTCATGGGCAAACGCTAGAAAAAAAGAAAAAAAACTTATTAAGGCTCCTTTTTAAAAAGGACTCATTCAAAGCCAATTTCCTGCCTTATTACTTTTGGATTATGATCATAATTTATAGCCATCTGCACAAAAAATCACCAATAATAACTCAATAGTATTTTTTAACTGGACAGACTCGGAAAGGAAATTATCAGTCGAATTACTAATGTAATATTCATAAATTAGTTCATAGAAATTCTGCACGTGTAGGTTGTGTAGTACAAGCCCGTAATGTAAAGTGCACAAACTGCTGTGCAGAAATATAAATTAAGATGATGCCGTGTGCATGTTTCCCAACTGTATCAAAGGGGGGAAAGAGTTACCTTAATTGCAATGCAGACAACTACAAAACAGACAGTAGCTCGGCTCGTTTCCGGGGAATTTGACTTTTTTTTAGCATGATTTCTGTTTCAGAGTAGCCGCTGGTCATCCACAGTGTCCATGCGGCAGCATCGATTGTACAGTCCACCCTACTGTTGCATATCCTATAAATAAAACATAAAGGAAAATTCATTTCAAAACCACTCCAACAAAGGCAAAGGGCAGTTATCAAATGAAGGCAGGTCAAATGTCTTTTTCAAAAGAAAAACAAAACATGTAAACCATACTCGGCTGAGAAAAACAAGCTTGTTGATTTGTTGCTGGTCCAAGCCCAATTGGGGACCCCCATATTGTAAAATTCAGCCTTACTTTCGCTTTTTCGATTCGGCCTCTCGCTCAAAATGTTCCGGGTTAAATAATTCCACTGTTGCAATTGGTTATTGACGGTCTTTAAAGCGAGCGGGAACACACTCAAGCTGCAGGGCTGCTGTGGGAAAGAGAAGCTCCTTTGTGCATATTAGATTAGGCCACAGCAGGTGAGGAGTCACTTTAAGGCCTTAAGAGCTCAAGATTATGTTTAAAAAAAAGTCCTAATACCTTCAGTGGCTCTCCGGCTGTATGAGAAATGCCTCGTGAGTCACTGGAGCTCCTTTTAAACTGGAAAAAAAACCCAGTAAACACACACATAGACATAATATATGCAGCATTTATGTAAATACTAATGCACATTTGTATAGGGAGTGTAGAAAGGGAAAAGAGCAAGGCATTAGAGGGTACTCATGGAATTCCCCCCCCCAGCAGTTATGACACAAACAAAAGATTTAAAATGTTTTTAGCGAATTAGAAAAAATTTTAGAGCCTAATCTGACAGGCAGAGATGGTAACTGCTCCTGGCCTGAGAGAATAACTCCAAATTTTGTGATGACTTTAAGCTGGTGTCAATGAACAAAAACTCCAAAAATATGAACATGTAAGGTTTGTTTTTGGATCAGCTGGAGGCATTTCACAGAGTAGGGCCCAGGAAATGGAACGGATCGATCAGTTTTTCAGCATCTCTGAGAAAAGGATGTCATTCATAATTAAATGCAAACCTATTTTAAATGTGTCAAATGACACATTTAAAAGAAAAAATTAAAGTAAGCCAACCAAATGTGGTTCCTTTAATCTGCATTACTGGTGAAATCCCCTTTGGTGAAATATTAGATTCAGTTATAATTATATTAAATTCAAAACTCAGGTCCAATAGCACTCAAATACACCAATCAGAGACCAAAAACGAGATAATTATTTCTTTAACACATGCAACTATTTTCTTCCTTAAAAAATAATATGTTCTTCAAAGTGATTATGTCAGGGCAAATGATCAGAAAGTCTATAATTGGGTAAGAGTCTTGGGTCAAGGGTATGTTTTCTTTTAAGTAAAGATTTAATTGCAGCAGCCTAAAAAGCCTCACAACGTTGTCTGTTAGATTAAATCTAATGAGACACTCAAGCCATAGAATCTAAATTGAATATAATGGGTCATATTAAGGTAGGACAGCTGAAATAAATTGAGTTTATCAAGCAGGGTACATTTGTTAGAGCTAATATCAGTAAATTAGTGGGTTAAGTAGTTAAACACAGGAAGGAAAAAGTGGGTAAAAGTCAGAAATGGAGATTTATTTAGCACTTGGATGTAAACAAAAACACCTAGATTTTCTCTTACAACCCCAGTTGAGCCAGGAAAGGAGGCGAGATGACCTAAAAACCACTCTGAGTTGGTTAAATGAAAAGCGATTTGTTGGGATTGGTGGATCGTGACAAAGAAGGGGTTCAAATGGAAGCACCGGGAGGAGGAACTGAACCCAGACAGCCAATCTGAGCCCCGTTAGCCCAAAATATCCCACTGATGGGACATCAGCATGTTCAGTCAGGGCCTGAACAGAGGCTCCGATCATGAATATGCACGAGGTCCGTGGAAACACCGAGAAACCAGATCTGCCGCAATTCAAAACTCAGGAAAGGAATCGTCAGACTCCGGTCGGAGGCAGAGTTCACAGGTGTGGGAGGAAAAAGTGAGTTCACATTATGAAGGTCAAGAAAAACTCCCATTTTGAACAAACTAAGCGGTTAGAAAGGTGAATAAAAGCAGAAGTTGTGCAAAAAAAAAAAAACACGTCTGTAATCGAACATTTGTTCAAGGACTCTTCTTATTTTGACACAAAGCTGCTGACGCCATGACATCATACAGAAAATATAAGATACAATATAAGATATTTGTGGGTTTTTGGTCAGGGGCCCAGATGTCCAAACACAACACACAACAGAGGAAGACACACTCCTCACACCACACACAGGCCTGTGTCACATGACCACGGGGGGGGGATTACTGAGAAATACTGCCGGGGAGGGATCATCCCAGAGGTTCAGGAGTCAGCTTTTTCTTTTGCAAACATCCATTTAAAAACAGGCTGTTTGAACTTGTTCGGACAGAGGACAATTTCATTGGCCCGGGGGCTCAAAGATGGTCAAAGTTCAAAGGTCAAACCTTTAAAGTGACAAAACAAACGTTTGTGCTGGAGCCATTGGATTAGATAGCTTGTTAGCTAGATAACTAGCTGGATAGATAGCTGTTAGCTAGATAGTTAGCTGCTAGCTAGCTAGATAGATAGCTAGTTAGCTAGCTGCTAGATAGATAGATAGCTGCTAGCTAGATAGATAGCTAGTTAGCTAGCTGCTAGATAGATAGATAGATAGATAGATAGATAGATAGATAGATAGATAGATAGATAGATAGATAGATAGATAGATAGATAGATAGATAGATAGATAGATG